CACACATGCAGGGGAAACCATGTCACAGTATAATGTTAAGGCTGGTTCACACCTATGCGTTCTTTAGTGCATTTTGCAGAAACTCACTACAGTCCATTTAATATGGTTTCCAATGGGATACGTTCACATTGGCTGTGTTATGCATTAAATTATCAACTCCTGTGACATAGTTGAACACTACTAAAGAATGTGCACACACTGCATCATAGGTTGTTCCTTATTTCTGGTTTCATAGCAAATGTTTATTCTTGTAGGCCTGATGAAGAAGGAGCGTTGTTGACCCCAAAACGTGTTGGCTGTTTTTATGACTTTTGTTTACCAACAATTAGAATTATCTTGGACTCTCTGATCCAGTCTTGGTCTGGCATTCCTTTCTGTATTTCTATGATGTGAGCTACTGTTGGGTGCCTACCAAGGGAGCTTTGTTGTATGGAAGCTGCCTCCCCAGAGCCATTGAGCTTGTTTGAAGTTTTCCATCATCTGACTACACATGCAAATCTAAAAGTTCCCAGTGCCTCTTTGAGTATGTTGTTCTGGATGCTACTATAGAACACAGTAGTAATGTAAGTATCAGCAGCATGATCCATACTGCCCAGTGGGGGACCAGGTACCTGAAACACTCAGAGGTGTCGAATAGTAGCAGAGGTTCGAGTTCTACAAGAGAACAAAGATTGGAACTGCTGGCCATCTGAAAGGTAAGTGTTAAATCGCTTCTTTAATAGGGTATCTCTCTTCTTATGTTTATATTGTAGTAACAGGGTTCCTTCAAAGTGCATCTAAACGAACTCTTGTTTTAGTTTTTGGATAAAATGGAAAGGGATTAGAACCCCTAATATCAGTTTTTATTACTGTCTGTTCCCCCCGTTAGGAATATTCACCCTCTCTATATATCCTATATACCGTATTTTTCGCTCCAAAGACACACTTTTTTCCCCCAATATAAGGGGGGAAAATGTCAGTGCGTCTTATGGAGTGAATATAAAGCGGCCAGTCCGGTATTTATGCCGCCACCATTTCAGAATATCGGGCCGGCCACTAAGCTCTTCTCTCCCGCAGGACCTTACCTATTCCTCGCTCCAGCGCTGTACAGTCTTCCTGCACCGGCTTCTGTGACAGCCGGGTGCCCACTGCGCATGCGCGAGAAGCATTGTGCTTTATGAATGGTCTGTGTCTTCTGGGACACATGACAAGTCCCAGAAGGCGCCGGGCTATTCACAAAGCGCAGCGCTTCTCGCACATGTGCAGTGGGCACCCGGCTGTCACAGAAGCCGGCGCAGGAAGAAGAGGAAAGGACAATTCAGGTCCCCGCTCCCCCTCCCTCCCCAAAGGTCCGCAGTCTCTGGTCATCTCCTTTACTGTCTGCAGTCTCTGGTCATCCCCTGCACTGTCTGCAGTCTCTGGTCATCTGTACTATGTCCGCAGTCTCTGATTATTTCCTGTACTGTGTCTGCAGTCTCTGGTCATCTCCTGTACTGTGTCTGCAGTCTCTGGTCATCTCCTGTACTGCATCCGTAGTCTCTGGTCATCTCCTGTACAGTGTCCGCAGTCTCTGGTCATCTGTACTATGTCCACAGTCTCTAGTCATTCCCTGTATTATGTCCGCAGTCTCTGGTCATCCCCTGTACTGTGTCTGCAGTCTCTGGTCATTTCCTGTACTATGTTCGCAGTCTCTGGTCATCTCCTGTACTATGTCCGCAGTCTCTGGTAATCCCCTGTACTGTATCCGCAGTCTCTGGTCATCTCCTGTACTATGTCCTCAGTCTCTGGTCATCCCCTGTACTGTGTCCACAGTCTCTGGTCATCCCCTGTACTGTATCCGCAGTCTCTGGTCATCCCCTGTACTGTGTCCGCAGTCTCTGGTCATCCCCTGTACTGTGTCCGCAGTCTCTGGTCATCCCCTGTACTGTGTCCGCAGTCTCTGGTCATCCCCTGTACTGTGTCCGCAGTCTCTGGTCATCCCCTGTACTATGTCCACAGTCTCTGGTCATCCCCTGTACTATGTCCGCAGTCTCTGGTCATCTCCTGTACTGTGTCCGCAGTCTCTGGTCATCTCCTGTACTATGTCTGCAGTCCAATGGTTCAGAATATTTTTTTCTTGTTTTCCGCACCTAGGTGCGTCTTATGGTCAGGTGCGTCTTATGGAGCACAAAATACGGTATATGTCCTCTCTATATGTCTATATAAGAAAATCCAAATTTTGAGTATGGCATTAGAACACTAATAGAGGGGAAATCTTCCAATGGGGACACTAGTTATGTTTACCCTGGTGACACCCCAGGATTACCTCTCTTTCAAACCTACAGTCAGAGATAAGCAGAGTACAGTTACTGTTTTGAACTCCCAAGCATGAATCCTTGCATGCACTTGAAAAAGCCAACTATTGCTATCCCCATCTATATACTTACATACAAGAATAATGTTTGGATTCAACACTCCACATGCATGGGGAATGCCCGCAAAGTTAGCGAATCACAAACTTTTGCCTAGAAACCAGAAATAAGGAACAACCTGCGATGCAGTGCACATTCTTTACTATAGTTCATCTATGTCGCAGGAGTTGATCATGTAATGCATAACCCAGCCAATTTCTATAAAAGGGGGGCTCAAAGCAGACATATTGTCAGTGTGTGTGATGGAACTCTTAGCGAGTGCTGACAATCCTGTGTAGGAAGAGACATTTTTTTTTTTGGCACTGGTAGATGTCCTCCATGGCAGTGCCCATCTTCCCATGTTTCTTGTCTGACAATATTTTGCCTATTAGTCCTGCTAATAGTCAATTAAAATACAAGATTCCCCTCCATCTATAGCCATCAATTGGGTTCGCTGCAAAGTTGCAAACTTACAACTTCAAGCAACTTTGTGAATCAAACCCAGGCAGATTCACTCATTCCTTATTACAAACTACATACTGAAGCCAGGTCTAGGCGTGATCCAGAGTTTTGTGAATGGTCATATCTTGTGCAATGCTTTGGTTATGTTGTGGTTTTATTACCTTAACATCCATTAACAGGCAGTGGGTGCACCTTCTGACACCCCATCTGACTCGATCAGAGCATTAGTGTGGAAATGAGCACTACAGCCCAAACCTGCACTTTATTGAAGTACTTAGCTGAAGCCAATGTTGTGTGTGACTCCTGGCACAGCCATGCTTCAAAGGAAATGTTCTTCAGTCCGTGAAAAGGAAGTCAACCGAGAGTTTTCCATTAATAGTGACCTGGAGCAGAACAGCAAAAAATGTACCAATAAAGCCTACAGTTGGCAAAGCTGCTCAGATGAAATCCCTGTCTTATCCGACTCTTCAATAACTTGAAGCTGTGTTTATTTTCATTCTTTTTAAATGGCTATAAGAGGAATGCAGCCCCATTCTGCATTTTCAATCATGTTTTATAAAATATATTCACTTAAAGCTAAACTTCGGGCCCAAAATCATTCAGTGAAAATTTTTCCTCAATAACCACAAAGGATAGAAATCTACTTTGTGTACTCGAAATTCCATTGCAAACTCAGATATTACCATGTAAAAGGAATGGTAACGTAATCACTATGTTACCCATGATCTTTGCAGAGAGCAGAGCTGTGGGAGGGGCCCATTGCAGCTGCCTGGAAAAAACTACAAAAGGGGCGGATACAAGACCAGTCACACCACACATAGAGAGAGAGCAGCAGTGAGCGGTCCTTATTACAGGAAGCCCCTGCAAAGAGGTCACGATTCATACTGGAGTATTAAACAGATCTGAAAGTAATACACAGAAACACAGAGATTCAAGTAAGAATACACTTGGCTCTTGTATTTAAACAACATTTACCTTAGACTGTACACCCCTTGAGGGTTAGGGACTGTTGTGAATGTACACTATATATGTAAAGCGCTGCGTAAATTGACGGCGCTATATAAGTACCTGAAATAAAATAAAAATAAATAAATATTTGCTTATGCTGGAGTTCAGCTTGTGACTTGTGACTTGTGTCTAAGAGGAGCAGTTCCACCCTGGGTGGCCAATGACTGGCAAATATCTGGAGGGAAGAATAACAGGTGATCACAAAATCTTCCATCATTCAAATGTCTCATCCTCAGCTTGGAAGGGGGCGGACTGACAACTCATGGGGCCCCCGGGCAATAGGGGATCATGGGGCCCCTGTGTCCTTGCCCAAACTCAAAAAAACCTATGAAAAAGGTACCAGGGGCATCTCATGGGGCCCCCTACTGACCCCGGGCCCTCGGGCAGTGCCCGAGGTTCCAAATGGTCAGTCCGCCCCTGGCTTGGAGTCAGTTTCTGATTCCATGATGGAAGACCATTTACATATACAGTAAGGACAAGTTACACCTATGCAAAGGCACTGTGCTTTTTGTTTAAGAATTTTTCAAACTGACACAGAAACATAGAGATGTTCTATTAGGCAGATGTGGCAAAAGCACAAGGTACATGTCATTGTGTGCCTTTACCATTGTTTTTAATGAGCCTGATCAATGTCCAGGCTGTAGCCCATAGATGTGATTTTTAATTTACTATAGAATGGGGATTATACTTGAAATACAGTTTGATACATATGTTTCCTTACAGGACACCAGAAATGCGAATAGGTTCTAAAAACTTGGACTCAATCCTAACATTGTATCTACAGTATGTAACACTAAAGGGTGAATTTATAAAAATAATTGCATAGCAATTCACTCAATGAAAGTGAATGTACATTTGATCTGTGCGAATGTGACAAAATAAACAATTTAATATGTTTAGACTATTTCCCATGCTGGATGAATGCTTTTCATTGATTAAAAAAAAAAATACCACATTTGGGCGATAGATGGAGCTAAGTATTATAGAAATTTCCTATAATACTTTGAGCCATCTAGTGTCCAAATGTGAAATTTTTCATTTTAACCGCTTGCCCACCACCCTATAGTAGAAGTACTGCTACAGGGCGGCACGGATGCGCGAAATCAGGTATATATATGTGATTTGCATTTCTGGGTATGGCGCACATGCGCCGCCCTACCCGCGCCACCATTGGTGGCTAGAAATGTCAATCACCGGGTCCCAGCCGGAGGTTCCTTGCTGGCACTCGGTGATTGTCGGGGAAAACTGACAGGAGAGAGACCTGTGTGTAAACAACACAGGTCTCTCTCCTGTCAGCAAGGACATGCTGCTTTGTATTTCTCTGCACAACAGAGAAATACAAAGCGGCGTGTCTCTGTTGTAAAACACACACACAGAACATAATGTGAAACACACACAGCACACAGTTAACCCTTTGATCACCCCAGATGTTAACCCTTCCTGCCCAGTGTCATTAGTACAGTGTCAGTGCTTTTTATTAGCACTGATCACTGTATTAACGTCACTGGGGATGTCAGTGGCAGTTAGTCAGTTTCCACCCAGTGTCAGAATGCCCGCCGCAGTCCCACAGTCCCACTATAAGTCACTGATCGCCGCCATTACTAGTATATAAAAAATAAATTCCAGTTTATTTACTGCCATTTGTAGACGCTATAACTTTCACATAAATCAAATAATTTACATGTATTGAGATGTAGCAGAATACATTTTGGCCTAAATTTAAAATTTTTTATATTGGATATGTTTTATAGCAAAAAGTAAAAAATATAGTTTTTTTCAAAACTGTTGGTCTTTTTTTGTTTATAGTGCAAAAAAAAAAAACGCAGAGGTGATCGAATAGCACCGAAAGAAAGCTCTATTTGTGGGAAAAAAAAGGACATAATATTTATTTGTCTACAGCGCTGCATGACTGTATCGCAAAAAATGGCCTGGTCAGGAAGGGGGATAAATCCTCTGGAGGGCAAGTGCAACGAAAAAAAAACAGTCAGCACAGCAAATCAGCACAGGAAATAGCCTAAAAAAACAGTTTTTTTGCCCCATTTCTACAGAACAAATGTACATGCACTATCACCGAGTTAATTGCTATGCAATTTTTTTTATAAATACACTCCTCAAATTCAGTAAAACTAGTATTTAGCATTGTTATATCTGTGCAAAACGCCATTTCAATCACATCTTTAACAAACCCTCACTGGTAATGAAATACATTAGGAGATTGCACCTCTGATAATGCAGCATTGCATTCTGCCTTTCTTCCCATCACATTTTCCAATCTTGCTGTGTTTGTCACATAACAGTGCTGTTTATTAGGAAATTAATGGATGGGTCCTAAAGAGTCAGGGGTCCTGTGCCCACAGGCTTCTGAGCTATAAATTCAGCTCTACTCATTCCTTAGGACAATCATTGTGCAGCTATAGTGAACAGGCAGGCTCCTGTGAAGTTCAATTACATGCCGACACATTGCGCTCTGTCTCCTATTGTTCTGTACAGTACAATGAAAACCACTTTAAAAGTTTTGGCCATAGGCGAGCCGGAGGGAGCGATATTCAAATGATGAACAGCTCTTGCTGTAAGTTCATTTCTAATGTGATTTTCTTTAAAATCACCAAGGAGAAATGGATTATTTGTAATAAAAAAAATAAACATGTTGGCATCCAGTTGAACTGCATAATGGGGAAATAACACAACACGTCCTACTTTTTAGCACAATGAAAAGTAAAAACTGATTGTAAAGATAACAATGTATAATTGGTACAATGCATTAAACGTTCTTTAGCTACATAAAACCTAAGTTGCAAAGGAAGGTTTTACATTATGTGTTTATTAGAGGGCACTAAGTAGGTAAATCTAGGCCTTAAATTTCAGTTTTGGGCATAGGTGGGAATTATGGGACATCTGCCCACCCCTGAGGATCCTGGGGGTGGGAAATCTTCAACTATTTGGCTATACAAAATCTACATTGCAAAGAAAGATAATACATTACGTATTTGTTAACCACTTGCCTTCTGGGAGATTTACCCCCCTAATGACCAGGAAATTTTTTGCTATTCTTCACTGCGCTATTTCAACAGGTAAGTGCGTGGTCATGCAATTTCTTTTTTGGTGGTATTTGATCACCAATGGGTTTTTTTTTTTTTTGTGATATAAACGAAATAAGACAGAACATTTAAAAAAAAAAAAACAATATTTTTTTAATTTTCGAATTTAAAAAATATATAGAAAACTCAAAGTTAGTCATAAATTTAGGTCAAAATGTATTCTGCTACATGTCTGTGGTAAAAAATCCCAATATCCAATACAGGTATATTAATTGGTTTGTGGAAAAGTTATAGTGTCTACAAACTAGTGTATATAGTGGGCGCTAAGTAGGTAAACTAGGCCTTACATTTCAGTTTTGGACTTAGGTGGGAATTATGGGAGATCTTCTGCCACTCCCTGAGGATCCCAGGGGTGGAAAATCCTCAACTAATTGGCTACATAAACCTACATTGCAAAGGAAGATTTTACATTACGTGTTTATTAAAGGGCACTAAGTAGGTAAATCTAAGCTGTACGTTTCAGTTTTGGGCTTAGGTGGGAATTATAGGACATCTTCTGCCACCCATTAAGGAACCCTGGGGTGGGAAATCTTCAACTATTTGGCTACACAAAACCTACATTGCAAAGGAAGATTTTACATTATGTGTTTATGAAAGGGTGCTAAGTAGGTAAAGCTAAGCCGTACATTTCAGTTTTGGGCCTAGGTGGGAATTGTCGGACATCTTCTGCCACCCCCTGAGAAACTCTGTGGTGGGATATCTTTAGCCATTTTCTAAACATCACCCATATATTACTTTATTATAGCCATTATGATATCACAGTGGTAGCTGTAGTTGTTTTTCTGTTTTTTTTGCATTACAAAGAATAGTGTAACAGGTAGGGTGAGACCTTGCTTAACTCGGAAATGGTCATGAAAGAAGAGAGAAATTGGATCTTAGGCAGACAGACAAAGATGCAATATCACCAAAAGACAAAAAGCTTATTGGTGACACAACCAATATCAGTTTGGAGCTAAACTATCGGTTTATGGACTAACCCTTTAAATTACAACTGTCACAAAAGTGATAAGGAAGTCTGTAGACTTGTTTCAGGTCAATGAATCAAAAAGTACTGAAGCCAAAGCAACATCATTATAACAGCTAGGCAAAGGAAAAGTCAACATTGACAATATATATATTTCTAATGTGACAGACTTACTCTTCTGTACCATGATAACCAAGATGATGGACCAAGCACAGATGATTCACTGTCATGTTTATTGTGAAGCCAAACGGGTCACAGAGGGACATCACAACTGGACCTGGTATGACACATAGACCAATAGCATATCGATGACAACTTCTTTGAATTGCAACATAAACATGATGGTGAATCAGGAGAAGGTGCAATTGTCCAGTTTATAAAGAAGATTGAATATTATAAAAAGTCTTCATTCACTGCACCATGCACTAAACTAGCAGACTTTGACAACGAATAAGCTGAACCTGCGCTGGCTTATGCAACTTGCTTAATGTAAAAACTTCCTAGCTAGCAACAGCTTTGAAAATAAAGGGGTCTCCTAGACTTGCCATTGCTGCACAGAGTGCTATGCCTTCCAGTCTCTGAGAGCTTCTTTTTGTAATGTGATACATACTGAGGGCCGTGAGAACAAGACTCTACATGCTCTCATTCCTCCATTGATTTCTTGAACCTTATTTATGGGACACTAGGAGGTATTTGTATTCTTCCTTTTTTTCCCCCACTGTTTTGTCTATACTGCAAACTTTCCCCTGGCAGTTTTATAGAGCTGCAATACTCCTAAATATATTTGGCATGTAGTTGGCATTAGACCAGCTGCGATTTCTCCTGCGCTCTAGGGCCCAGACCGGTGGAAAATAGATGGAACCAACACCAGAGCAAGCGACGACCAGTATATTTCAAGGTTGTGCAGCTCCAAAACAGGGCTGGGGAAGCCCGATTGATACTGCAAAGTGAAACAAAAAACAAGAAGCGCACCAACCTTGCGCATTACCTCAGTAAGGAAGAAGGCATAGCCTTCAAAACGCATCAGCTATACTGAGTGTCTACCCCCATGATGGGATTCGCGCAGGCTTCTTATCTTTGAAGTCCCTTTGAGGACTACATGCCTGATTTTATTCGCTGTTTGTGAATACCTATCTTTTATTAATAAATTCTGTTACTGAGGTAATGCGCAAGGTTGGTGCGCTTCTTGTTTTTTGTTTCACTATGTAGTTGGCATGCCAGGTTACTGTTTTTTTGTAAATAATAGGGTCACCTTTTGAGAGTGTGCTCTTTCCTCCTGGGCTGAATGTTTGTATAAAGTGCCTCTTCTCTTGGGCTTTGCCACAATCTGTGGCAAATGTCAGGGGCCAAAGGATTTAAGCTACCTGTTGGAGTGGATATCTGAAGGTTATTGGGCTGGAAAAGGATCTTCTAGCTAAAGAGTGTTACAGAGGAGCCGGGTAGAAGCTTCCATCTGAACACTGTAAGAAAGAAGACACAATTGGAAAACAGTTACAATTTTTAGGTAAAAACGACATAGATCCAAAGTCATGCAAGGCTACATACAAAATGACATACATATAATGGCAGTTCTCACATTTGCTTTGCTGGATCGTAGCTGTAACAAGAAAAGAACACCAACGTCTTGGTAGGAAATGGTATTGGTCTATTCTTAGGCAAGGCAGCATTGTATGGTGCCTGTACAGGTGGGGATTGGGGGGGTTTGTACTTTTTCACCATATCATACACCAAGGGCCAGACCCTGAGATGGAAATGTTAGCCTGTCACCCCTAGAGGAAATTATTCTTCACCCCCTCCCATAAAGCTGGGAACACAGTCAGGAAGTAGTTCAACAGATTACAATTAGTAATCAATAACGGGAAGGGAGTGCGCCCCCTAAACGAGTCAGCTTGCCTGCATGGCGGGATTGCACATTAGGACACACGGCGGTTCCTACACCTTGTATCATCTCGTGGTTTTAATTTATTTTTATCTTTTACTTTTGGGTATCTTCTACCCATTTGTTATAACACTTGTCTTGAATAATAAATCTCTGGTAATGCGCTAGATGCTTGCACCTTCCTGTTTGTCCTTTTTGTAGTTGCATATGGATCCCCCCTATCTGAGGAGGGCTTCATCGACCATGCATTCCCAGTGGAATACATTTGTTGCCACCCATGGCCCCATTCAACTGTGATATATCTCTGAGCACTGGGAGTTAATGTGTGGTTGGTGTTTCAAAACTAAACTTTCCATTTGAGGGAGACTGATGTAGGTTTTCAATTCTTCTTATAACCCCCCACACCTTCAT